CTGTGTGTGTTTGTGTGTGTGTGTATGTGTGTGTGTGTGTGTGTGTGTGTGTGTTCATGTGTGTTTGTGCACATGCACATGTGTGGAGGTAAAGGCCAGAGGTTGACATCAGGTATTTTCTAGATTTCTCTCTACTCTGTGTATTGAGGTAAGATCTCTCACTGAACCCAGAGCTCACTTCTTGGCTAGTCTGGCTAGCCAGCTTGCATTTGGGATTCCCTATCTCCACGTTCTGTGTCTTGAGATTATGGCTGAGCCACCACACCCACCTGGCTTTTACATGGGTTCTATGGATCTCAACTCTGGTCTACACACTTGCATGGCAAATGCTCTACCCACTGAGCCTTCTCCACATCCCCCTCCTCCAGGCCCAAATTTTTGATCAGCTGTCACCATGTCTTCTGAGGAAGATTCCCATTGGAAAGTCAGTGATGTCACTTTCCAACTCTACCCAGCCAGGGCCCCTAATGTTTATAAAGGTTCCAAGAGTCAAAAGGAGGTCTTTCTTAGGGAATATGAGTTCTATGAGACCTGGAGCCTGGCCTTCACCTTTCACATGAGTCTAGTGTAGCTAGTGCTGGGGAGATGGCTTAGTGGTTAAGATCATCAACTGCTCTTACAGAGGACTTGGGTTCGATTCCCAGCACCCACATGGTGGCTAACAACCATCCATAACTCCAGTTCCAGGGATCGGACATCCTCTTCTGACCTCCATGGTTATTGCACAATACAGGTGCACTTACATGTAGGCAATACACTCATACACATAAAAAAAGAAATACGTAGAATATTTAAAAAAAGAAAGATCTTCCTTCAGAATTTGATTTAGGCTCATCATTTAAGTGAGACAGTTTTGTTCTTGCCTTTTCTCCTAATCCTGCCTTTTCTCCCTTAGCTGAATCTCTTTCCCCATATCTTTTTGACACAATAGAACAATCACTACTTTTTCTTGAAGGTAATGTCTTGAGGTGTTGATGCCTTTGATGGGAAGACTTTTGTACTAAAGAATCTATGTAGTCCTATTTAGCTTAATATAAAATGATCAGCTGGAGCTGAGATGAGCATTTCAGGACTGCTTTGGTCTTCTGTTTCATTTCTATTATCAATTAACATGTAAATGGCTTCTTTGTCACTTAGAAAACAACAATTGGCCACTGAGTATAACCGGAAACAAATACTTCAACACTACTTTGCCGAATGGCAGCATTGGTGTGGTTCGGAAGTTGTAAAGAGGGAGCTGGCTCTAGCAAAGGAGCAGACTAGGAAGAAAATGGATGAGCTGCTGAAGGCAGCCTCTCTCAGGAAACTCAGTTCCAGTGGATCATCAAGTGCTTATCTACTTGCTGAGACAACAGCCATGGTGGGTCCATCAGTAGAAAGTGAAAAGGTACATTATTCTTCCTTTGTTTGGGTTTTGTGTTTATTAAACATTTGCTCCTGAGTTTTGCATTTTTATAGCCTGCCATTATGGTATGACAGCCATAGTCAGAGTGCCTTGTCTGAGCTGTCTAAAGTTAGGGCTGCTACAGTGCACAAAAGTTCAGGCTGGGATTACTTTCTGGAATTGAGTCTTTTTTATAGTCATATATCAATCTTGGGATAGTTGGAATTTGGTAAGGACATAATGTAGAAAGGGACTTATACCAGTGAAAGATGCCTTTAGAACAAGATAGGTAAAGCACAGTTTATAACTCTTGAACTCCCCTTGCTTGATCTCCACACATTTCCTTTCTAAATGATCTGGTGATGTAACAGGGAATTTAAATTTTAAAAAATTTTCTAGAGGCTGAAGTGGTGACTCAGCAGTTAAGACCACTAGATGCTCTTGCAGAGGACCTGGGTTCAGTTCCCAGCACCTACATGGAGGCTAACAAACATCCTAAACTCCATTTCCAAGGGATTCAGTACCTCTCTTCTGGATTCTGTGGCATTGCACAACACAGGTGCACTTACATACCTGCAGGCAAAACATTCATACATATAAAATAAAAATAAATAAATAATTTTTTTTTAATTTGCTAATAAGAAAAGTTGTGCGTACCTTTTGTAACAATGTAGTAGAAGAAAATCACAGAGAATTAAAAACACAACAAACAAACAAATTCAGCCAGTGGTAGTGGTATATACATCTGTAACTGTAATCTCAAGGTCAGCCCAGGCTATATAGTGGGTTCAAGACCAGTCTGGGCTACATAATGAGACCCTGTCTCAAAATACAAACAAACAAGCATGTAATTCCATTGTCTGGAGGTAACCATTAATAACGTGGAAGTATGATTAATCTATTTTCTCTATTGAGGCATATGTAAATTTGTTATTGTTAATATTTAATTTAGCTTTAAATTTCCTTCAGTCAGGTCACTGAAGAAATGTAGTCTGCCATAATCTTTTTCTGAAGGTCATGGTTTGGTTTGGTTTGGTTTTTTGAAACAGGGTCTCATGTGGTACGGGCTGACCTCAAATTTACTCTGTAGCAGAGGTTGGCCTTAAACTTCTCATCTTTTTGCTTCTCCTTCCTAAGTGTTAGGATTATGTAAGGTTATTTGGGGTGGGGATAAGTTGTTAGTTTTTTTTTAAATATGAATGTAATTATTTTGTTTTCCTAAAGACATTTTTTAAATTTTCAAAATAGAACATGAACATTATTAATGTTATCAAATATACTTTAATAATCATTGTTCTTCATGAAAGATATATCTCAGAGTTAAACTTACTAAATCAGAATTTCTGAGTAGGGGGTACCAGCAGTTTTAACGTTCTGCATATGAACCTGTTAAGGACTATGGCTTTCTGTTATCAGTTTGTAATGACTACATGGCATTCTATAATGAACCTGAGCCAGAAGTTTTTTAACTCATCAGTGGTGGAATTTAAGTTGTTTCCAGTTTTCCACTGTTTTAATAATTTATTAAGAATTTCATACATACATATAAGGTGTTTTGATCAAATCCATGCCCACTCCCTCCCCTCCAACTCCTCCCATATCTCCCCATCACTTTTTTCTGATAACTTCATTTGCTCTTTCTTTTTTTTTTAATGGGGCTTTTTGCTACTCTAACATTCCCCCCTCTGAAGAGGTAACCCTAAAATCTTTTAAGGATTAGATAAGAGCTCCCAAATACTTTTGATATTTTTGGCCTTTGGAATGGAGTATGTTGCTAAGAGGCCCAAGGACATTGTGACTTTTTAAAAAAATAGTAACCACATACTTAGAAGAAGCATTTCATTACAACAGCATTGACATATTCAATAACAATTTCCAGAGATAAGATGCATCTCTTTCAAAATTGACTGTAAATTTTTAGGTTTACAGTTGAATTATTATAGCTCTACAATAGTAGGTTTACAGTTGAATTATTACAGCTCTACTCAGTATAAACCCTATAAGACATAAAATTAAATGAGGTTTTTAACCTTTAAAAAAGATCTCCATTTCATTATTAAAATACACAGTTTCATACAGAAAAATTCATTGTTTTTGCT